ACATCTTTTAATTTCCTGGCTGCTGGTGCCAAAAGTGCTGACTGAGGAACCAAGCAAACTAAAGCTGTGAAAATCTCAATCTCTTCACCATCCATCCTGATGCTGCCAATTGGTCCAGTGCTGAGAATCTTTGTCTTCTTGATATTGAGCCTCAATCCACATTGAAGGTTGCAGTCCTTGACCCTCTGCAGCAAGCGCTTCAGGTCCTCCTCAGTTTCAGCAAGCAGGGTTGTGTCATCTGCATAATGCAGATTGTTGATAGATCTTCTACTAATCCTGACACCACACTTCTCCTCATAGAGCCTAGCCTCCCAGATAATCTGTTCTGCATACAGGTGGAAAAAGTATGGAGATAGGACATATCCAACACACACCCTCCCCAATTTTGAACCATGCAGTATTTCCTTGCTCCGTTCTGATAACTGCCTCCTATTCCAAGTATAGGTTTCAAAATAGCACGATCAAGTGTTCTGGAAGTTCCATTCTTCTCAGAGTCAGCCACAGTTTGTTATGATCAAACGCCTTTGCATAATCAATGAAACACAGATAGACATTCCTCTTGTATTCCTTGCTTTCAGCTAAGATCCATCTAACATTAGCTACAATATCCCTAATAGCTTGGTAATATAGCGTACCAGTTATTACAATGCTAACTGAAATGCTGGCAGTTCAAACCCCTCAGTTACTGCTCAGGAGAAAGAGGGGCAGTCTCTTCTGGTGAAGATTTACATTGTCCAAAATCCAAAAGAGAGTCACTATGAGTCAGAAGTGACTCAAACTCATGGTCTGTGTGGTAATCCCATGCTTGGAAAGATGGAGTCTAACATCCATCACTGGGCTCTAGAGTTCTGCAAACCAGAATTCTAAGCCTGAATCTGCTGATTACGCTCCAATTTTAGTCAATTTACTTAATCTCTACAAACCTTAGTTTCATTAACTATTATGAACATACATATTCATTACAATATCAAGGTTGATGTTGTTGGTGTTGTTGATGAGTATCACTGAGTCAGAGCCAACCTATAGCTGACCCTTCAGTGGGTTTTCAGAGGCAGCTAATTATACCGGAGGAGATTGCTCATCCTTCTCCCACGCAGCTAGTGGATCAAAGCCCGCCGTGCATTCAAGATAGCAGTACGGATTCTTATCATTACGCCACCAGAGCTCCCCTGTAATATTAATTACACCATCAAGGTTGATGTTAGGATTAAATTAAATACACATCATAACTGTGGCATATGGTCTGGAAAATGGCAAGTACCCAATGCAGCATTAAAATTAGTCATAAGAGTAAAAGGAGAACACAAGCATAAATAGGAATGGGCAAGGAAGGAGCAGCAGAAATGGAGAGAATATCCCAGGCAAAGATACTAAGATCCAGAAAATCAAGATGGCATTGTGCAACATGCACACAAAAGTCTACCTTTATGGGAGGTGACCAGAAGGAGGTGAGTTCTGGCAGCTGGAGACAAAGCTAACAGTGGAAATACAAGCAGAGTCCTGCTCTACAGAGCTTAACCATAGTCCATCAAGAAAACTAATGAAAAAAAGAGACATGATCAGATTTGTATTTTAGAAAGAGCACCTTAGCCACAGTGAGGAAAACAGAATGGAGAATGAAAATGATGGAAACAAAGAGTGTACAATAACAAGCTTTAAAACACATTGATTTTTGTGGAATTTCATAGCAAGGCAGATGTCACATTAAGGTACATTCACACAGAAGCAACGATTTTGTAAATTATTACCTAACTTGGGAGGGACTGGAGAGCAAAATGAACTAACTCAGTCCCACAAAGACAACTATTGTATAAATCCATTAATGAAGAATGAGTATAGGGATCCAAGGGAGGGGGGAAGGGTGGACACAGAGGGATGAGGATGTGCAGGCAGAGGGAGGGAGGGATTAATTATGGAGTTATAAAATTTGATGGTTTGATGGGTGGGGGGTGAGGGAAGTTAGAAGAATCTGTTCTGAAAAACAATGTATTCTAATTTTGTAAATAAACTAGTAAAATTAAAAATATTTAAAAATTATTTTAATCCCATTAAAAGGAGGGTTA